GAGAAGAGTCTTTTTTTAAAAAAAAATAGGCCAGCAGATATGTCTCTACAATGGGCCAAAAATTCACTAAGCTCCAATTTATGATTTTAATCCTTTTAAGGAGAAATTAAAACAGCAAAACCCGCAAATATTTATTAAGAGTTTAGAACTTCAAAATAATATTAATGGGGTTAAACTGAACTTCACTCCCAGAAAAAGTTCACAAGAATGCAGTCATTTGGACTTTGGCACAGTATGGTTAAATTCTAGAGACATCTAAAGCGGTCTGCAAAATATGCATCAAAAGTTGGTCGTGAAAATCGCATGCAGCAATAATGTTCAGTGAAAAAGAAATATTCTTAAGGTAAAAAAAAGATAAGGATAAGGATGATTAGGAATAAGAAAATCTAAAGGCGAATTCTATAAATAACGGGGGAAAATAACCCAAAAAAGACATTAAAAGAGTTTACAACAGAGAGAAGTTCCTGCAATTCAAAGTAAAAATCCCTAACAGCAGCGACCAACATCCTAAACCCTAGAACTCTAGGATTTTGATCACTCGTGCTCTTTGCTGTTGTAAATGAATCATTTTAATAAAAGATATTTGATTACTTTATCTATTTCCTCTCTGCATATTTCGTAGGTTTGTTAAACGAATCATATATTTTACCCCAAAGAAGGTTTAACCTACTTTGATTCACGGACTTACTACATATATAAATACATATTATCAGATGCAATAAAAAAAATGAGATACATTTCTTACTTTCTCTCCCTTTATGTTCGTCTCTCTCACCACTTTCATATAATAATATTATATAATATATAGAGATAATATATGGAAATGTACATATATATACCTATATGATTTTATTCATAACAGTTATATCTATTTTATTAAAACAGAAGCACATTTAGTGCTTGCATCCAAACACTTCCAAAGTTTTTTTATAACATTTTATTTTATTTTTATATTTCATTTCCGAAAATTAGATATTAATTTAGATATTTTTAGATTTCCTAAAATCTAGGTCATCTTTAATTTAAATTTCAAATTATTATAAATTTAAATAAATATAGTTACAAAAATTTGCATTCAATTTAATTTAAATTCAAAAAAAAAATTATAATTAAATTTTATTACGAAAATTTAGACAATAACTTTAATACTTTAGAATTTCTTAAATACAGGAAAGATTTAATTTAAAATTTTATATTTAAATAATGTG